CTAACCTTAACCCTAACCCTAACCCTAACCCTAACCCTAACCCTAACCCTAACCCTAACCCTAACCTTAACCCTAACCCTAACCCTAACCCTAACCCTAACCCTAACCCTAACTCTAACCTTAATCCTCCCTACAATCATGTCCAAGAGAGTTGGATCTTCCATTTCATCCCTGTGATTTAAGTCAACAGAATTCAATATTGATTTAGCCTTACACAGTATTTATCTTACAGATATGCTAGATCACATGTGTCAAACACAAGGCCCGCGGGCCAAATCCGTCCCGCCAGGCCTTGCAATGAGGCCCGCACCACGCTGTCATCACTGCACTCCGCTGCGTTTCCATCACAATGACAGTTTATGACTGTTCAGTAAACCATTCGGCCCGTGATTTAGGCTGGATTTTAGATTTTGGCCCCTTCTCTGATTGAGTTCGACACCCCTATGCTAGATAGAAAACAATGACATTGGCTCTATTAATTCTTCACTTTTTACTTCCTTATGCACAGGCTTATTAAAAAGCAGAATACTCAGTGGACAAACAATTGTAGACAATTATTGCCTCTGGAAAGTAGATAACAGTTCCCTTTGGGCAAGTTGGGCCTTCCATGTATGAAAGTTGTTAGGATGCAGAAGAGTTTGACCTCTGCAATGAGGGACACTTGCTTCAAAACCCTTCTCTGCCACTTGCTTGCTGTATGGCTTTGGACAGGGGTTATAGATTTTATCATAGTTTTGCATTTGTAAGATGGAAATTAATATAATTTCTTCCTCAGAAAGTTGCTGGATTAAATGAAAGAATCCACACATAACACAGTACATTTAGTACCCAACAGGGTCAGTTTTCTTAGCAGAGAGAATGTTGGTCAGACTCTCTCATGCACTTGCCTCCCAGACAGGAAGTGAGCGTAAGTGTGAAATGAACAAGTTGAGGAGAAATGTCTGCTGGGAGCTCCCACTCAGGTCAGAGCTTTGAAAGTTCATGGAGGATCCTTATTATCGTCTCACTGCTTAGGTTCAAAACTATGCTTTGACATGTTTTCTGGACCTTAATACCTAAAGAAAAATATAACCTTTCCCTAGTAAAACTAAAGAGTCAGTGACTTCCTTTTGAGTAAATTTGTGTAGGATCCTGTGATTTCATATACAACCTGCATTTCATACTCTATATACATATGCATTGATACTTAAAAGCAGAAAGAAATACAGATTTCCCTAATGGTGCAAAACCTTTTACTAGTTTTCATATTTGGCTTTTGGTCTAACTTCATGAAAGTCTCCTTCATTTTGATGCATCTCTTCCCCACCCCAGAGTATTAAGCTCATTTTAAAAAATAAGGGTTGTGGCATCAGATGGCACTCCCATGAGCAGCGCATAAGGGTTCCCTTTTCTCCACATCCTCACCTGTTTGTTTTTCTTTGCTGTTTTCATATTTCTTTTGAATCTCTGATTATGGGTCATTGCTTATTTTTGTAACTAACAAATGTAGACTTCCTCTGGAATGATAACAATGCAAAAACAGCTGCTACCGAAAGAAGAAAAGAAAGAAGAAAAGGAGGGACATAAAGTCAAGAGAAGGAATCCCAGCTCTTGGGAAAGAGCTGTTGCCCCAGAAGCTGCGGGTTACCTGCTAATTTCTGCTCCCAGAGGTCTCCTCTCCCTAACCTTCAAGCTTCCTGCATGCTACACTCTCTTTGCTCTCCGCTTCCTATTATTCAAGCCCTACACTGGCCCAAAGGCTTTCTATATTTAATTTTCGGTGGATGAGAAAATAGTGATGATTTCTCCCAAATTTCACCTGAACCTCACATCTTGCCTCCCAGCTTTTATGCTTTCTCCAGGCCTCTGCAAAAGAAACTTTTGGGCCAACCTGGTCACAGGCACCCAGAGTACTTCAGTCTCTCCAGTAAAAGCGCTATATGTTTCATTAATACCATTGGTTTTTAAAAAATTAACTCCATTTCCATTCAAGAATTTTTCTCATGCATTGTTTTCATCAAGCCAAATAATGAAATTCAAAAAGAAGTTTCTTCTTGAACCCACTTAAATCAATTGCTTTAATAACATCCCTTTACTAAGTTATGCTTTTTAGGAGACAAAGATGTTTGTTGTTTGTCTGCTTCTGATGTAAGTTGAAGACTTACAAATAGTTGTTAATGGTGTTTGAGTAAGAAGACTTTGTTCTAATGATATATGTCAAATATGTAGCTATAAATTTTTCTTGTTGCCAATTTATAAATTCTAAATTTTATTGTGGTTCAGGCAGGAGAAAACTTAGCTTTGTCCCAAAAGGTTTATATTAGGAACATGATTCTGATGTTCATTTTGTTAAGGGATGAGTTCAGTTGCACAAATCCAGAGAATTTATGTTAACTTTGGAATTCCACATGGTTCTATAGCCAGCTGGCCTTGGACCCAATTCAGTTCTCCCATCTTCTGGCTTGAAAAACAGCTGGCTTTGAGTGAATCAAAGTAATTTTTCAGTTCAAGTGATTATTAACTATTTTCTTCTGAAGCTTAATATAAATTAATTTTCTTAGAGTTTATGTAACTCAACATGTACTGCATACAATACCATCTGAGACCAAACACTAAGTTTCTTTGAAGTGTCGGAAGAATACACTTTCTGCTTAGTGTTTATATCTGCCCAGGTAAATTTGTTTCTGGTTCTATTATTTCCTCAATTTGGCCCTCTTGATAAGGAGGATGAAATGCCTGAATATTTGAAGAACTCTGTGGTCTCTTACTAAAGTTACAAGTTTATAAGCCTGCTGTCGTTGGCTGGTTCCTGGTAAGCATTTGAAGAGTGAGATGTTAATACAATCAGGTGCCTGTTTATACAGTGACTTTTATCATATATCTAAAGATGGAGAACTGAGTTTTATGAGACAAACACTTCTTATAAAATCCCCAGTCCACTCTGTTCTAATTGGGTCAGACCCTTATGCTAAATGAAGAACAAAGAGTTCTGTGATTCAAACATTTCACTACATGTTGCCCTTTGTAAACAGGAAAATAGAGATTTAAGGAGAGACTCAATTAGAGGGTGGAATATATACCCCCCATCCCCCCCCCTTTTTTTTTGAATGGGAAGCACATTTAAAAATAGTAACCTATCATCTGCTTAGTCTAAATTTAGGATATGTTCCCAAGAAGTATAAGGATTTAGACTTATATAAATGGACTCCTTTGTAAAAACATGCCAGTGTTTAGTCATATGTGAAGTTTAATATTCTGCATGCTATACACCAGATTTTTTTTTTTTTTATGGATAAAGAAGTACAAGTGATTTCTAAATTTTGCAGCAGAAACTTCATGTAGGCCAGTGTTTCCCAAACTTTTGACATATGTGTACCCCTTCTATAATTTCCGTAATGCTGAGTACCCCTCGTACTCATGAGAACGTAGAATTAGGCGCAGCTAAGCACGGTGCAGTGCATATCCCTGGTGCAAACTCCAGTGCAACACGAACCCCCACCAAACTCTTCCCGTACCCCTGGGGATACGCGTACCACACTTTGGGAAACACTGGTGTAGGCAGTTAGATAATGCACCAGAGCTCCCAAAAGAGGGCTGACTAGGAGTATATATTTGTGAGTCATCTGCCTTTAATGACAGTGGAAACCATAAGTGTGGAATAGATTATTTCATTGGAGAGTATTAAGTAGTAAAAGGAGAAGAGGGCCTGATACTGAGCCTTGTGCAAGTTTGGCTTCACATTGGGTGGTGAATCTGCAAACAACATGAGGGAAGCCACAGCTTGAGAGGTCTGGGAGAGTTTTCTTTTTATTTATTTATTTATTTATTTATTTATTTATTTATTTATTTATTTATTATGTAAGCCAAAGGAAAAGAAAAAAAAATGTTTCAGGAGGAAGGGAGGAACCATTTGAAGCTTCTTATAAAGTATAATATTGACTGAAAATACCTTTTTAATTAAGCAATGACTGTCATTGGTGATATCAGAGCAGCTGCTTTTGTGGGCCAACTAAGGTGGAAAACAGATTGGCATGGGTTGAGCTGCACAGGAGAGAGGAGGAAACAGGATTCCTGGAGTGTAAACATCTCAGAGGATTTGAACTGCCAAAGAGGGACAGAATATAAGATGGAAGTTCGACAGTGATGTGGGATCAAGGGAGACCTTTTTGTGGGACAGACTTGCATGTGATTTTATACAATGAGAAAGAAGTATTTGAGTAAGAGAGATTCAAAAACCAAAAGAGAAAAGAAAGAAGATTAATAATAAAGTAATAGTAATAACAAAAATAGTATTTATTGAGTTCTCACTGAATCTGGGACACTGTGTTATGTGTTCTGACATTGAATTCTTAGAATAATGTTATGTGGTGGGTACCATTCTTTTCTGTAGGTTAAAGAGAAGGAAAAGGAGACTTGGACATGGTTACTGGCTTGTTCAGTGCCCTCCTACTATTAAGTGAAGGACTAACTTTCCAACTGAAGGACTGAACTGTGCCAATGCCCAGCTCACCACCCCAACTTAAATTTAGGTGTCCAGGCTTCATTTGAATACCTACTTAAAGGTTCTTTAAATTTAAGAATGCCACTTTGAAACTCTCTGAAAGTAAGTTTTATTTTGATAGTAATTTAATCAAGTGGACCTGATTAAAACACACAAACAAAACAAAAACTAAACTAAACTAAAAACAAAAACAAAACAAAAGAAAAAAAAAAGACTTTATCTGCTGAGACTATCTAACTTTGTAAGTGTATGTAAAGCATCATGCCCCCAAATATAAGCTGTGTGATCTGAAGGTGAGTTGCCCAAAAAACTCCCAAAGTACTTGGCTGAGGCAGAAATTAAGGATTTTTTTTTAACACTTACAAAAGGACTTAAAAAGGATGATGGACTGAGATAACAACATAATAAGGCCAAGCAAGTGATATGAAAACATCCTCCAGACAGCTTCCCTTGTAGATTATGACTGGCTACATTTTCTGAAAAAAAAAAAAAATTAATTCTGTCCTCTTGCTTTTAATAGGACATAATGACTACATGTGTCCGGCTACCAACCAATGCACAATTGATAAAAACAGGAGGAAGAGCTGTCAAGCCTGCCGATTACGCAAGTGCTACGAAGTCGGCATGATGAAAGGTGGTAGGTACCTTTGACACAGGGTGCTACTCCCAATAGATGTCTATGTCTATGTTTATTCCAATAACTGTGGGAGTTTAGTGTTTTCTCTTTTAATACCTTTCTTTCCTATTCTTATTTTTCTTTGCAACAAAAGTATTTCAATAATACATTTTATTTAAAAAATAGGGAACAGTTGGAACTGGAAATGCTGAGTTTCATAAAACCATTTAGTGTTTTATAGTTTAAATGTAAATAATTAATATTTTAAAGAAAGGTGTATGGGAGATGGCATAGAAGGAAAGAAAGACTGCTCAGGGAGTTATCCTAGAAAGATTCTTTCCATACTGTTTATATTGCTAATGCTAGAAAATTATATTGGAGAATAAACTTTTGTAAACTGAGACTTGTAAATGTGAAAGCTAAATAGGTAATTAATAATCTTAACATGTCTTAGAAATTTGAATTTCCATCAAAAGGCAGCTTTTTCCTTTCGAAGTTGAGTTATTCACCAACTTGCATAATCTCAGCATCTAGAGTTGGGAGCCTTGAAATGAGTACTGACCAAACACAAGGCCATCAGGATTTGCACCTGAGTGCTTGTGTCTTAGTGGCTGTGGGTGTTGTGTATGTGTGGTTTTCTGTCCCCTCCTGTCTCCAATCTTCCAGTGTTTTGTGTTGTGTGTGTGTGTGTGTGTGTGTGTGTGTGTTGTTTAAGGAATCCAGTGCTGATTGACCTTGCATTTTAGGAATCTAGTCTTAAAGAACAGTGTTTGTAGTCTAGTCTTGCATAGCCTTCAAAATAAAGGGAAAGAACAAATAGGAAGTTTATAAATTAAAAAAGTCATGGGTGCATTTAGTGTTTCAGGATGATACCAAGGGTGGCAGATGGACAATGGGCTCCCTGCTGATCACAATGGGGAAAAGCTCTCTGAATGAGACTAGACTTGGGATGAGTTAAGGACAACAAAGTTGCAATGAAAAAGAATAGTGACTATGCAGAGAGAGGGCAGCTAACCTTTAGCTCATTGTTACTTGGAAGGAGAACAAAAACCCAGGGTGGAAATTAGGAAGAAGGTGTGCATGATTGTTAAGAAACTAACCATCAAAGATTCTTGAGTTCCATTGTCAGAAACCTGCCGGGTTGAGGTTGTGAATACAGCATTTGCAATCAGTTCTCCTGAGGAACAGATGAAATGTTATGTGAGGTGTGACTATATGTCTTGAATGTCTGAGAAAGCAGCTTGAATTTAAAGGGTAATTAATCTTAAGAATTTAACAGCCCCATTAAGAAAATGATACTCTGAGTCATAAATGGATTAAACATTTAAGGAATTCATCTTGCTTTGTATAGCTGGAGAATTAGTCAGGCTTAATTAAACTCACAAATAGCTTTTTAAGGTAACTCGATAAGTGACAGGAATATAATAGCTACTCATAAAAAGTTCAATTTGAAACAGTGGGGTTTAGGTTGAATATTCTTTGGTGCTAGGAGGTAGATTAAGCCCAGTCTGGTCTATTCTCTCTGAAAGCTGAAATAATCAATGTGTGAATATGTAAAAACATTTTTTTTTCTTTTAGGGGACCCATACATTGACCCCACTTCATAAAAAATTCTGTTTTTCCTAATTAATGCCCTGATACAGGCTGGCTGCATAAGTATAAATTATGAATACACATTTTTAATTTAACAAAAATTTTAATATGCAAAGACATAATAAAAGGTCTTCCCACTGTTTTTAAATAGAACTCTAGATAATTTAACTGCACAAAGCCAGTCTGTGTGTCTATACATATCATTGTAAATGTATTTTATATCTGTAAAATATCTATCTGATTAGTTTGCTAACATTTTAGTCTACTTGATCTATCATCTGGGCAGCTTAAACACAGAAATTAATTTTTTCTAAACATCAATAAAAATATTGAATCTCTACCCATGACATTGAGTCTTTAGCTTCAGATAAAAGCAAGAACCACATACCTACCCCCAACTTAATGGCAAGGCTGAATAAATTCACTGAAGTGCCCTACGGTTTGTTAGAGTGCCTGATTTTCTTACAGTAAGACATTGTTTTAATCTGTTAGGATGCCTACCAATGAGCCTGACTCTGATAATCCCTTTTCATAGTGCGATTTGTTTCATCCACACATCCCACAGCACTCTCAATCACTCAACCCTTCTCTGCTTCTTTATTTCTCTATTGCATTTCCACCCTTCAAAACATTGTGTCATTAATTTTTAGATTATGTTTATAGGTTGATGTCTGTAAGATCCATATGGGAGGTTACACACAAATAAAACCTGCTCCCACATTTTGTTCAGTGATGTACTGCAAGCCCTTAGATCAGTGCCTGTGTGTAATAGGCAGTCAACACCAGATGTGGCATGAACTAACAGAATGAGTGAGCAAGAGTGAAAGTACACTATAAGTGCTAAACTATGAATAATAGATTGAAAATCATGAGTCCTATTTTTTCTGATTAAGAGAAAATATCTGGGAGTTAAAACTTGTATAGCAGTTAGCTTTCACTGCATACCAGGGCCTCACCTCAAAATCTTAATGGTGTACAACAGTAAGGATGTGATTCATATGCCAGGGGATCAGCTAGGAGGCTGCTGAGATTGGCGGGGCTTGCTCACATGTCTGAGGTCAACTGGCTGGTTCAGCCAGAGTGGCTGCGATGACTGTTTGGCTTCTCATCCAGCAGGCTAGTCCAGGCACGTTCCCATGATAATGCCAGAGGCACCAAGAGAGCAAGCCCCGAATCACAAGCCCATTTCAATCAAGCCGTTGCTCACATTACCTGGCGATGTGCAGTGGGCCAGAACAGGCCAAGTGGTGAGTTCTCAGTCTGTGTGAGAGGGGCCTTCAGAGTTAGGTGGCAAGGGTTGGAAAATGGGGACGATTTTTATAATCTATGACAACCTGAAATATCCACTTTTCAGATTTTGGACTAAAAAGTTTATAGACAGAGTGTCATAGGCTCTTACATGTAGAAGGGATCTCTGGCTTCATTTACAATAGGAATCTTCTATGTAGTATACCGGCAGCTTCTGTTGGAGTGCTGAATACAAATATTTGTTTTTATTTTCATGCCTCTCTCATATAGATGATGTAAAGCAGGAAAACCTAGGAGTAGATGTGGGCCAGTGCTTCTGGAAAAATCCAGGCTGGTTTCAGAGATGCTGGATTTCACTGAGCTATCTAGATGTGGGCTCTGTGTATGCACATGTACGTTGCAATGGCTTAGGAATGCACATTAAAACACAATCAACTGTAAGGCTACTTTATGTTCACTGCATACACAAAATTAACCAGCAGGCATCGGCAATCATGCTTTTATTTTTATTTGTTATGGTTAGAATCCTGATTTAATTTTTGATGCTGAAATAATTTCATTGCTTATGGAGAGGTCGCGGCTTTGGTTCTTGTCCGCCTTTCTGTGTTTCAGCTCATTGCTCTTGTCCACTTACTTTTCCAAGAGTGACCGTGTCCCACTTTGACTGATGACAGTCTCTGAAGGCCTGGCAAACATTTCAGAAAGGGTCTTTCTTGTTCCTATCATTTGCTTTTGCCAAAGTAAATTGTTCTTTACTTTCGCATGTAAGGACCATTTCTGTGGATAGAACTTAAAAAAATGCAGAACTTTGCTTTTGCCGGTGAAGCTCAGTAGATAGGGCCTTGGGCCGAGGACTGAAGGGTCCCAGGTTCAGTTCCTGTCAAGGGCACGCACCTTCGTTGCAGGCTCCATTCCTGGCCTTGCTCAGCTCAGGGCAGGTGCAGGAGGTAACCAACTGATGTGTCTCTCACATCAATGTTTCTGCCTGTCTCTCCCCCTCCCTTCCACTCTCTCTAAAGGTCAATGGAAAAATATCCTTGATTGAGGAGTAACAACAACCAAAAAAAAAGCAGCACTTTGGAGGAAGTAATTGTATGAATAAATTGTGGCTTTTGAATTCTGTAATCCCCAGACTTTATGAATTCTCATGTATTTAATTTTTGTTTCAATGATTGTGGTTGGGATAATAAATGGCGTCTAGAGCTGAAAAGAATGTAAAGGTCACCTTGCCCACCTCTTTGTTTTTCTGCTCATTGTTCTTGTCCAACGTATGCAGCTAGTTAGCAGCTCAGACAAGAAGCCAAGGCTCCGAACTCTTGGTTCAGTGCTCTTTTCATTGTATTGTATGACCTAAGTGGTTTAGATCATCACGAAAGATAACAACGTGCACAAGTAAGATATTCATATCACATAGACACAAATTATGAGTTAGGAAAAATTACTGTGGACACAAAAATATGACTATTAACAAAAACACGAAGCAACACACTTGGCTTAGTTACTCAGCAGAAGTATAAAAAACATTTATATGGAAAGGGTGATGGATAGTTTACAAAGAATGACTGAATATTTAATTGCTTTATATTGCTTAATTTTTAATATTAAAAAAAACAGTTTTTTTTTCCTCTTTAAGCCAAAGGTTTTCACTATCTTTAGATAATAATTTCAATAATGTTGTAAAGCCTGTTTTCTTTTTTAATTGTTTAGGCTATTCTGGTATTTTTTTTTAAAAAAAGGTAACTTTGTCCAGTTGAAGGAATCCTGGCTAACGGTCAAGTGTATGAGTCTGGCTCTTCCAAGGGCCCTTGGGCAGAGAACTCAATTTTTGTGAACTCTCTTTTTACATCTGAAAAATATGGGTTTAAAATTCAGTGGTCTCAAAAGCATCTTTCAAATCTTAAATTTTATGTTCTTTTTTAAGAATTCAAGATTGTCTCGTCAGAGTATTGTATAAGGTTGATATTTTTTGAAAATTATGTTTTATGATGTAAGTTCAGACTACATAGGGAAAGATCAGAATCTAAAGTTAAAGGTAGTTTATGAATATAAAAAACAACCTCAGCAGTTATACTTATATTTCCAGCCAAATTTGTAGAGCAGCTAGCAACTGCAAACATCTGTTGGAAAGGACAACTATAAATCTATTCTCTGCATTAATTAGCATGGAAAAAAAAATTTCT